AAATGGCTTTTGAATTAGAAAAAAAAAAAACCAAGACATGGATGTTGGAAAATGTTTTATTTGCTTTTACTGCAGCCATTTGTGCAGACAATTTCCATCTTGCTGCTTCCATACATTTAAACATGTTGACACGACGCAAAATGATGCTGCCCTCTTATTGTACAAACGCTCCTGGTGTGTTTGTGTCACGTCCACGCTACAATGCACCGAAACAAAAAGGACAAGCTCTCATTCTGAACAAATGACATCGCCGGCAAAAGTGATGCGCAGCATCCAACACGTCTCCAAGCATGTTAAGAGGACCGTTTGTTTTGTGCATTATCAATTCTTTTAATTCTGCATCAATGTCAGAAAACACATTATTTAAAAAACAAAAACAAAAAAAAAAAAACCTTCTTGGACACGCTGAACAATAACATGACCATTTCCCACTTTCGACTACACCACAATATCTTGAGAATATATGTTTGCAGGTTGGCAATACTAAAGTGTTCATGGTCCAATTGAATTGAAGCTGGTTCACAGACATGAGCAGAATGTCTTTTCGATGTGAGACTGGTTAAATACATGCCAATACTTCCATTGCTTCATATAATAAGGGTCAAAGACGTGAAATTGACACAGGGTCTTCCTAAATGGATGATGTACTTCTTTTTTTTTTTAGTCCCCACACAGACGCAACACAACAGATGTCCCGTACAATGGTCTTCTGAGGATGCTTCAGCTGTCATTTACATAGAAATGGTGCCATCAATATGGGGCATACACATATTTTAAAAAGTGTTAAGAACTGACCTTGCACTGAAAGTGTTCATGCTCTTTAATGTCTGGTCACAAAACGGGCTAAACATTACAAATATATAATATTTCCCATTTAGTTCAACCTTTTGTTATGTTCCTATCGAACTCCATATGAAAACGACTATTGAAGGGAACTAGTGCAACCTGGAGGAGGCCTGGTCTTTGTGACAAGGCAGGCACAGAGTAAAATAGACATAATGAACTCTGGAGCAACTCCAGAGCAATGGCAGATATATTAAGGCCATTTTGAAGAATTAAATGGAAAAGGAAAAAAAAAAAAAAAAAAAACCAAACAAAAAACAAAACAAAACAAAAAAAACAACAACAGTAGCAGACAGCTTGACTTGCTACCCACCCTGAACACGAGACAGTTGGGGCAACAAAGCAAGACTGTCTTTTCTTTTCTTTTCCTTTTGTCCCCACCCCCACCAAGTCCATTGTGCCAGCCTCCCCCACATCCATGCTGAGAAGGGCCACTCTTCTCTATTCAAGTGTGTTCAGTTTTGGTGGAATTGGGAAAAAAATGGTGGCATCCTCACAACTAGTCTCTTCCTCTGCAGAGCCAGCGAGTACCGGGACGTCACGATTGTTTTAGACGCTTCCGGGGAGGGCCGAAGGGCGGGCACTGCGCCGAGGCCAGGGCGCGGAATGCCTCGGCCACCAAGTGAGGGTGCGACTGGATCATTGACTTCCAGCCCGCGGTCTCCATTATGTCTGTAGCGTGGCTGCCAGCACAAACACAATCAGCTTAATGCACAGACATTAAAAATCAATAAACAGAAATGACGTGTTGAAGCAAATAAGCAGCTTGGGAATTGAAATGAATATACGTTTGTTTTTTTCCCCAGCTCAAAAAAAGGGTCTTCGAGCTTTTTAAAGTTACTCGGAGTTGACGTTTCCTTTCAAACTACACATAAATGAAAGACAATTTACACATCGCGTAATTAAAACAACCAGCTTAGCCTTTTAGTCTGCTGGCGCTAAAGGATCTACGGTGCAGTGCTGTGAACCTTTAAGCCACACGTTGAACACAAACGACGCAGGAGCTCATGTAGACATACGGCATAATGGTACTTAGTCGTATTCTAGATCGAACATTTTAAGAACTAGGAACTGATTCAACAAAATTGTTAAATCATGTTGAATAAATGATACATTTTCACACCAACAATTATTTAAAGATATAAAAATGTAACTATATAAAATTGCTAATTATTTTACTTTGAAAAAATAAACACTAAATTAACAAACCAATCATTTCTCTAGAATAAAACCAGCACAATTTATGCAACAATTATTCCAGCATGTAGGCTTGGTGGACTGGTTGAAAGAACGGAGTGGGACGCGGGCATTGTCGCTACAATACTGGATTAAAAAGCAGGCTTTAAATTTATGGATGGGAGGATATCCAGATTATTTCTTCCCCGATTGGTTGGATGAAATCCCATGGTTCTCACCACCTGAGATATATGCCCGCAAAATGCAGCCTCGTTTCAAGGTGCCGCGACAACCCAAGAATATCAATTGGAAAGGCAAACTTGGCGCCCGCGCTCCGCCCATACACAATGGGAGAAAAGGCTCCATTTGCAGGGTTTCTCCAGGTACGAATCTATTAATAACTTGGACACAATGATACGACGGCTCAAAGTGAGAAGGCAAACAGTGCGCCGTCCGCCAGGGCTAAAACAATGAATTCTAATGCATCTGCGAGGGGTCCAGATAAGAGTGTGTTATTCATCTTGTGTCACATATCAGCTAATTACATACTTGCTATTCCAGTTCTTTCCATCTTTACAGCCCAGCTGTCTGAGGACACTGCACCTATGGCAAGGAGATAAAAAGGTAAGCATTCACGGATGGTAAACAGAAATGGCAGCAGAAATTCATCACGGGAGTTTTTACCCCCCGCTCCCCGCCTCTTCCTCCTCCTTCCACAGATACTTGCCTGTTGATAAAATCTATGGCTTGTGCTTTGAGCTGCTCGGCGCTGTGCAAGTCTGCGAGGATGAGGGTGTCGGCCACATTCTCCACCGAGAGGCTGTTGCACAGGGCCTCTTCACACATGACTTTTAGACGCTCCAGAGCGTACTGGAAGCACACGAGAGAGCAAGCGCTTAGCCACCGGTGCTGCGCAAGCATGAGCCAGCAGAAGATAGTGACCAAAATAATGGCAAGGAAGGAAGCGGTGGGCTCTAACCTGCAAGTACACAACCTGGGCAAATGTATCGAGACCTCTGGCCAAAGAGAATATGGAGTCATTCCCATACGTGCATTTTTTTGTTAATATCTTTGCTTGCCCATTCAGAGATACTGCCATTATAATGTATACACTTGTGATTATATTGTGATGTATACCTTTACTTCAAAGAAATTTAATTTCTACAGGGGGGTGGGGGGAGGTGAATTTTAGGCCCCCCTCACACAACCCGACATACCATTGTCCAAAACATCTTAAGATGACTCATGAAGGCTTAACTTGGACATTGTTATTTTTTGTCCCCTCCCTCAAGTGTCACAATTCTTAAATGCATCACAGCAGCGTGAAAATTGGAATATAAATCTGATCCGTTAATGAGAGTGAGCACAGAGCGAATGTAACCCTTCAATACGAGGTCGGCATCAACAAAATATATCAATTGGAGACGTATCCACACACTGGTGTCTGTCCAAACAACAAATAAACACCAATCGTGAAGCTCAACTACAGAAAAAGCATAAAGCAATACTGTACATATGGTCCAAATGTGCTACATTGGAGACATGGCCACCATGAAGCTTTATAATTGCATACGGTGGCCAATGGAGAACGATGGAGATGACTTTTTTTTTTAGTCCTGTTAGGGGTTGCCACAACACTTTTCTTCATGTGCGAACTGGCAACCAGTTCAGGTTGTACCCAGCCTGCTGCCTGAAGACAGCTGGGATTGGCTCCAGAATGCCCGCGACCCTTGTATGTTGTCAAGAAGGCGGTACATTAAGAACTAAATTTTTTATGAGGTGGTAGTGTCTGGACAAGGTTTGAGAAATCAAGCGCACCACTATTCCTGTTGGAAAGTGCAGGTAATGAGATTCATAAACAAGAGTAAACCAAAATGAAATAGAATAAAAATAACACAGACGTGACAGTTTCTGCCTTGCAGGTTTGCAAGTGCAAACTGCTTTTGTGCTCACTTTGTCTGCGGCTGCCAGCAGGTTGTCTGCCATCTTCTCCAGGTTTGGGGCCTTCCCTGTGTAGATGAAGCCCATCATTTCCTTGAAGACGTCGGGGTCCACGTCGCTGATATCGACACGATTCTGGTGAGAGGAAAACTATGTTTTTTAAAGAAGACAACATAAAAATAAACTTCTAAATAGAATAATGAGTCACTTTGTACCTTTTTACTCTCTTCCATTTCATGCTCAAACATCGCATTGAAGACGGGCGACCTTGCTGTGAAAAACACAGATCCAAGAGTGATAAATATAACAGCAGTCAACAAAAAAACCTTTATCAGTGAACAGCACTTGTCAATGTGTTAAATCAGAGTTAGTGCTGTGCCGTCCACTTTTTTTCCCTCCTCATCTGACCAAAGAAGCTGTTGCCACCATGTCGAATGGACACAGGCTGGAATAGTCAGCGAGGCTTTCGGTCTCCTGGATCACAGTTACTCGGGTCAAGCGGGGTAGTCGGGTGGATTAGCACCTTTTGCAGATGCAGGCTGCTTCAAACCTGCCAGGCGGTACAGACCCTTGGTAGCCTTTCAAGGTGCTTACAGCTCTGTGAGGGAGGCCATTCAGAAGAGGCATGACATGTCTCACAAAGGCCATTTTCAGCACTTCTCTGTCATGGGCGATTGTTGAATGCCCTCAGACCGACATTTGGAACGCAGGATATATCACACCTCCCCTCACGGATTTGCATGGAGGAAGCGTCTTTGTGTCAAGGTACTGCAATTACACAGCTTAAAACCCGCAATTCCTGATGGTTACTTCAAAACAAGCGCATTCTAATAAAATGGTTTAGGATAACTGGAGTCCTTCATACCTGCCAGGATGGATTTGTGGGCTTTGAACTCCTGCCCTCCCACATACAGGCTGCAGTCTGTGAAGCGTGAACACTCCCAAAGATTGCCCAGGTCATCAGACAGCTGACAGTCAGGTACCTTCAGCATGTTCATGTTGGACTGGCCAGAAATGTTCACAGAATCTTGGACAACACTGACCTGCTCAGAAGACAACACATTAGGGTTGAGCAATATGGTTGAAAAGTGTATCATGATATAAGTAATTCATAATGGTCGGTATTGCCATACTGTTTGTGTGTGTGTGTGTGTGTGTGTGTGTGTATATAAACTGCTAGTGTGCTCCAAATTTCCTCTTACGTGCTTGTAATTGTAGCTTAAATCTAACATTATATTGCAGCCTCCGCCGACAGAACGCGGAATGCCAAAGTCGGGGTTTGCTCCCTAATTTCTACTAAACATTTTATTGAAGATATTTTCTATTACTATGGCGATACATACTGATAATGAATTATCGCCCAGCGATACAACACATTTATAGTCCAGTCATAGACAACAAACATCCAAATAAGTGGAAGCAGATAGGCGTATGTGTCTTGTGAAGAGCAAACAAGCACCTTGGCACAGACTACTGCAATTCAACAGCACTCCGAATAAAAGCAGACATTTTTTTCACCAATGGAAACCGTAATTTTCGAAAGGTGTTTTTCTGGCAGCAGCAGTTTTGTTTAACGGATTCATCTTGACAACTGAGGTTCCATTGTATTTATATGACTGCTCAAAAAACAAAGGGAACACTTAAACAACACAATGCTACTCCAAATCAATCACACTTCTGTGAAATCAAATTGTCCATAAAGGAAGCAACGCTGATTGACAATCAATTTCACATGTTGTTGTGCCGATGGAATAGACAACCGGTGGAAATTATAGGCAGTTAGCAAGTCAGCCCCAATAAAGGAGCGGTTCCGCAGGTGGTGACCACAGACCGCTTATCAGTCCCTTTGCTTTCTGGCTGATGTTTTGGTCACTTTGGAATGCTTGGCAGTGCTTTCACTCTAGTGGTAGCGTGAGACGGAGTATACAACTCATCCAGGACGGCACATCAATGCGAGGTGTGGCAAAAAAGGTTTGCTGTGTCTGTCCGTGTCGTCTAGAGCATGGAGGCGCTACCAGGAGATAGGCCAGTACATCAGGAGACGTGGAGGAGGTCGTAGCAGGGCAACAACCCAGCAGCAAGACAGCTACCGCCGCCTTTGTGCAAGGAGAAACAGGAGGAGCACTGCCGGAGCCCTGCAAAATGACCTCCAGCAGGCCACAAATGTGCATGTGTCTGCTCAAACGGTCAGAAACAGACTCCATGAGGGTGGTATGAGGGCCCGACGTCCACAGGCGGTGGTTGTGCTTACGGTCCAACACCATGCAGGAAAATTGGCATTTGCCAGTGAACACCAAGAGCGGCAAATTCGCCACTGGTGCCCCGTGCTCTTCACAGTTGAAAGCAGGTTTACACTGAGTACATGTGACAGAGTCTGGAGACACCATGGAGAACGATCTGTCGCCTGCAAGATCCTCCAGCATGACAGGTTTAGCAGTAATGGTGTTGGGTGGCCACACAGCCCTCCATGTGCTCGCCAGAGGTAGCCTGACTGCTATTAGGTCCTCAGACCCCTTTGAGACCTAGAGCATGGAGGCGCTACCAGGAGATAGGCCAGTACATCAGGAGACGTGGAGGAGGTCGTAGCAGGGCAACAACCCAGCAGCAAGACAGCTACCGCCGCCTTTGTGCAAGGAGAAACAGGAGGAGCACTGCCGGAGCCCTGCAAAATGACCTCCAGCAGGCCACAAATGTGCATGTGTCTGCTCAAACGGTCAGAAACAGACTCCATGAGGGTGGTATGAGGGCCCGACGTCCACAGGCGGTGGTTGTGCTTACGGTCCAACACCATGCAGGAAAATTGGCATTTGCCAGTGAACACCAAGAGCGGCAAATTCGCCACTGGTGCCCCGTGCTCTTCACAGTTGAAAGCAGGTTTACACTGAGTACATGTGACAGAGTCTGGAGACACCATGGAGAACGATCTGTCGCCTGCAAGATCCTCCAGCATGACAGGTTTAGCAGTAATGGTGTTGGGTGGCCACACAGCCCTCCATGTGCTCGCCAGAGGTAGCCTGACTGCTATTAGGTCCTCAGACCCCTTTGAGACCATATCCTAGTGCGGTTGGCCCTGGGTTCCTCCGAGTGCAAGATGATGCTGGACCTCACGTGGCTGGAATGTGTCAACAGTTCCTGCAAGACGAAGGCATTGATGCTGTGGACTGGCCAGCCCGTTCCCCAGACCTGAATCCAATTGAGCACATCTGGGACATCATGTCACACTCCATCCACCAACGCCACATTGCATCACAAACTGTCCGGGAGTTGGCGGATGCTTTAGTCTAGGCCTGGGAGGAGATCCCGCAGGAGACCATCTGCAACCTCATCAGGACCATACCCAAGCATTGTCGGGAGGTCATACAGGCACGTGGAGGCCACACACACTACTGAGACTAATTTTGACTTGTTTTCAGGACATTACATCAAAGTTGGATCAGCCTGTAGTGTGTTTTTCTAATTTCATTTTGAGTGTGACTCCAAATCCCGACCTCCATGGGTTAATATATTTGATATCCATTGAAAATGTGTGTGATTTTTGTTGTCAGCACATTCAACTATGTAAAGAGCTAAGGATTTAATAAGAATATTTCATTCAGATCTAGAATGTGTTATTTTAGTGTTCCCTTCATTTTTTTTTGAGCAGTGTGTGTAATATGCCCTCTGAATTGTAATAGAAAGGTGAGGTGGATACAGATTCCCACCACGAGCAGTGATCACACTGCAAGATGCTTCCTTTTCCATAATTAGTGTGGCTGTAAAGGTTAAAGATGAACATTTACCTCACAGAAAAGAGTAAGTTTGTCATCAGGCAGGAGTCCATTGGCTTCATCCAGGAGGAAATCTCTCCTGATAAACTTTTTAAAGCCCCAGTCTTTGCCTTGGACAAACCTGTAGGCTCTTTGGCTTTCTGCAACAAAAAGGAAAGCATGTTGTTTTCAGACAGTGCGGCTTTCAAATGTTTCCAAGTTGCAGTGGAACATGAGTGTGATGATGTCCTCGGCACGCGCACTTACCCATCGCTTTTGTCTCCTCTCGTTTAGCATTCAACAAGGAAAACTTGAATTTTGCTCTGACTTCACTTTTTGGACAACTAACAAGAAGTAAATACAATGACAGATAATCTTTGCTTTCATCATCAAGTCCCTTTGGATTGACACGCAGACACCTGTCAAGGAAAACCAAAGCCATCAGTAAAGTTCAAACAGTGCTCCCAACTACTTTTGTCAAAAACAACTGCTCAGGGATGAGCTTCCTGCTTATGACAAACTGACTAATTATCATGCAGGTAATGAAGACATGCTGACTATTTAGGATGCATTTGGTGTTGTATGCAATATCCAGACTATTATGCGTCACTGATTTTTTTAAAAATCATTTCTACTGTTACAACGCAACTAGGGTGATCTTAGGGCCACAATGAAGGGAAATAATGTACCAGCATAAATGTCAACCTGTGTTATGCTGATGACGATGGAGGATATGGCAGGTTGAATTCCAGTGCAAGTTGCACAAGCAATGAAAAAGTCGGCTTTTGACACCTCCATGAGTAGGATTAGTTTATGTACCCTTTGTCTGTTCCTGAAATTGCATCATCAGTTTGTTTTGTCCTATTAACCTTTTATCAAACATTTAAAATGCCCGATTCATGGCAGGATTCGAGAGACACATAAACACAACTAATGTTAAGACTGTTGTGTTTTGATTTGACTGTTTGATATATGCAGCAAACCCACGTTTTATTTAAAAGCTTTTTCTTTCATGGATCATGACGTTAATCTCATTACAGTACATATTTTTAAATATATGCAACTGGTAAGAATGAGCCACTGACCACTTCATCTTGTCATTAGGGCCAGAGGAGAAGGTTGAGCTCTTCAGCACTTCCCCCATTTCTTCTCTGCAAAAGCTGAAGTTGTTTATGGTCCACATGTAGGAAAATTTGACAACCTTGACCTTGGCGACAAATGAAGAAACATGAGGTATGTTTAGTATAACGGACTCCACAGCGACATGATCGGAGATGACGTTACAAGCTATCGAAAAGTGATGACATGGCTTCTGTGGCGATAACAGAAGTGAAGTGTTGATTGCTCCAACCTCTGTGTAACACCAGCTCTCTGCCACAGGTCCACTTGACATCTCCCCAGGAGGAGGCGGTGTGGGAACCCGTGACATCACCACTTTGGAGGTAGCCCTCTTGTCTCTGAAGCACTAGGAAGGGCAAAATGAAAACTTATTTGGCTGCTTACTTGACATCAACGTTGAGCAGCTTGGTTGTTAGTGTGGTAGAAAAAGAAGAATGCCAACAGACTGCTAGTGAGACTTTTATGCAGGACAAGTAGCGACACAGGCTACTATCAACATCTATGGAGACATCTTGCTGTCTTTCACAAGTTTCTACTGGTTCAGTCAACGCAACATATGTGTGCTGTCTAAAACCAAATGTTTTGTGGGGAGAAAAAACAAACTGGACACAATGGGGGGGGGGATTTTTGAGGTTATTGAGGTGGACCTTTTTCTCCACACTAAGATGATGTGTTAAGAGAGTTTTAAAGCAGTATTTTCAGTGCAAGGAGACTGCCTTGTACTTCATTTTCATGGATTCCAGCGGTTGCTAACAATATCGATTCATCAGTGCATCCCGATTCAATATCGATTCAACAAATCCTCTGAATGGCCGCATTGATCTACAAGGACATCGGGACGTACAGTGTCGCGGAAAAGCAGCGGTTTAAGAAGATTGTACAGAGACTCGACCCACACACGATATGGATTACCGACACGAAAATACATGCCAGAGGTTGCAGTCCCAAAGCTGTACACAGAGTTGAAGACAGCTGTGTTGGAGTTGTTGAAGGCAGCAGAAAGAGTGCCGCTTCCATGTGACGGTTGGACTTCCAGAGGGACTGACCTCTACCTATCACTTATCAGGGTCACGATGAGCCAAGTTGTGTTGGTCCACCACAACCAACAATGGCCCTGCATATTCATGATATAAAATGGTAAGTTTCAATGATGATGTCATACTTAGCATCTTTACACTCTTTCACGTTGGAAATATGACTTCTGTGTTACTTTTTTGGCATGTTTTTTTCCCCACTATTAAATCGAACTGAATATTTAGCACTTGACATTTTCTGAACTTTGTATTTTATTGAAGCCATTCCTTTACTTCATGTTTTAACCTGACCCGCAAAAAAATTGCGCCATTCAGTAAAAAAGATAAATGATGATTGATCAAACTCAAAATATTGAATATTAAATACATAAGTGCAAGAACATGTTGAGTTCATTGCATTTTTGACTTGTCCGATCAGGACAGCATCTGTGAACTTCAGGTGGCTCAACACAGTCACAGAGTGGCCTTGGGCCATGGGGCCACTGTTAATGTAGAACCCTGCTTATCAATTCCTGGAGAGTCAAGTTTACATGCACTTTACTGAATCGCAACCTAAGGAATCCAAAAATCATGATGATATTCAAAATGCCCAACCCTCATGGATTCCAATTAATTTAAGGCATTGGGTGCTTTTTTTCAACAGAAAGAATGTCAAGAAGAGTCAACCTAATGCTAAACCTCTGACAAGGGCAGGGTAATATGTCATGAAAACAAAATGTCACGAATATCTGACTTCCAATTTGAATGATTTTTTTTCTTCTTAATCTTTTGCTTACATAAAAATCAAACAACAATGGCATTACTCTATTTTAACAAGGTTGTTTTAATGCCCTTTGGAATTTGTCTCCCCTTTCCCCAAAAAATGATCTAAATGTTATTTTCTTTACAGACGATGTGAAAAGTGCTTCCTCTTGGAAATGCTTTTCTCAAAACACGGACATAAGCACAAATCATGAGACGATGTGAAAAGTGCTTCCTCTTGGAAATGTTGCTTTTCTCAAAACACGGACATAAGCACAAATCATAAATTAAGTTTTGAATGTTCAAAAACACAACAAAATGATCCATCAAATTACTTTCTTCAGACGGTCCATGTAACATTATGAACAAAATCGTACACCCCCCCCCCTTGCCAAAATATTTACAACTTGAAAAGCTCATAACTCAAGTCAAACCGTTGAATCTTATTTATAAATCACTGCTGTGGCAGAAACACAATTAAGAGCTCGTTGGCATGGTTCTCGATCACAGTTCCATCTTCTCATGCGGGTCCCATTGGAAAATTAATTGCTTGCCCTGCTCTATGAAGTCTAACACCAAAGTTAACAGAGCATATGATGACCAAGGAAGGATCGTTTGCCAAGTGTATATTTTGTGACTCTTACTGCCGTGATACCTTAATCGCTCTCCCAGGACTGATCTAACAGGTTGTCTGGCTTTGTTAGCACAAGACAATCCAAAGTAGTGGTAAAAATAGTTCCAACCAAGACCAGTGAATGCAAATACACATTTACAAGTGTCTCCAAACTTTGGTAAGAATTTGTGATCTATTCTATGAAAAAAAACAACCAAAAAACAAACAAAAAAAAAAAAACGTTTTTTGCATAGTGTAGCAGCAACAGCAGTGCACTGCAGTCAAATCTAAGAATGCGAATTAAAGGCTCACCTCTTCGCAGTTTTAAGTATATAAGAGGTGTTATGGATCTAGTTTTTCACAGGATATTTCATGGTCCCATCTTCATGTTCCAACCTACAAGGAAAACAGAGCAGAAAACTTGGAAATCACTTTGCATCTGTGATTAGAAATAGTGAGGGGCTATGTTCACATGCAGCTCGTTTCATTTTTTTTTTTTTTTTTACCTATATGCGACACATATGTGATTTTGATTTCACGTAGTGTGAACAATACAATTCCGATTCTTCCAATTCCAACCTAGGCCTCTTTCATACGTGGGCATAATTCAAATATGTATGCAAGGTGCCTGCAGTATGAACTCTCAACCGCACACATCTGACCTATATTTCAAGAAAGCCCAGTATGCGCACCGTGCAGGGGAGGAAGTGCTCATGAGAGAAATAGCTGACAATCGTCCGTGAATCTACAAAGGTGATTTGATTAACAGTGTTGTCTTAATTGAATACCACTGTAAACACAGAGAATAAAATTGACATATGGGTTGCTAGTTGTAA